ATTGGACACCACCACCACTCGGGGCCGGCGCTCGGAGTCCTCGTGGGCAACTACCTGCACGGTCTCGACTGCCGGAGGGCGCTCGCTGGGAGCGGGAGCTCGCCGCGCGCCGAGCAGCTGCGCCGCCTGCGCATTACTGATTTTCGTTTTAAACTTGATGTTTCCGTTTTGCGAGACGTACGTTAGGACCGGCTTCACGACCTCGCCGTCGTCGGCTCGCCCGATGGTTCTCCTGCTCGGGTAGCGCCTGCGTTTTTTGTGAGATTTCTTTTTCCTCCTTATTTTCTTATAGAAATAGTCGGAGTCGGAAGACGAGAGGCCGTCGTCCGAACTGAACTCGCTCCAGTCTTCATCGGAAGTGCGCGAGGTGTCTGACGACGAGTACCGTCGCGGCTTGCGCTTACTTTTCGGTTTGACAACCCGCAAAGGAGGCAGAGGCACCACGACAAGCGGCGCCGGTGCCGGCATCGGCATGGGGTACGAGTGCATGGCCAGGGCGACGGGCTGGCTCGCCGGCATGGGGACCGGCGCTTCGTGCGGGTTGCGACATCTGCACCGCTGGTGACAAGGGGAGCAGAACGAGAAGAAAGCGGGCGTGCAGGAGGGCGTACAGTGGCAGGGCGGGCACGCAGGGCAGGCAGCGGGACGGGGCTCGGCGCGGCAGAAGTCGGGCTGCGCATACACGGGCAGCGGGAAGGGCACAGGCAACGGCACGCCCACAGGCACGGCTACGGCAACGCTGCGCGCCGTGGTGGTAGTGGTGGTGGTTGTAGTAGTGGGTGGGGAGCGCGGCTGCGGCGGGCCCAGAGCTAGCGCGGGCAGCATCACCGGCACCACGGGCGGTGCTGCAAACACCGGCACAGCGTACTGTACCGTGGCAATGCGAGTCAGACTCAATAGAATTAGCAGACGGGTCCAATGGTTCACCGTGGTACATGCCATCGCGGCGCGCTGCCGGGGCGTAATGTCACGGCGCCGGGGGTGGCGGGGGCGCGGCTGCGGGTGGGCGCAAGGGGCGCTGCGGGCGCGCGATCTCGCTCGCCATCGCCGCACAATGGCGGGCACAGGTGCGCCGGCGCGCGCTACAAGTTTTTATGTGTTGGCTTGCGTAACAGAACGCTTCGTGCTGATAAGGTTTACGTTTTATAACTTATTGCACATGTGAATACTGAATGAGATGTGTGATTATTGCGCGCCTCGTTGAAAATATTAATTGCGGCCATTATTGCGCTCATATTATTAGGTTTACAATACATTTCTTACCTCTTACATAAACTTGAAATAAAGCCAAAAATATTTTTGCTCAAATAAGGATAAAGACAAAAGTAATTATGATTATTTTATAACATAATGAGTGCAAATGAATGTTTTGCCAAAAAGGATGTAACGTATGACTTAATACGCAGTGGACTTCTGGCCTAGATATACATATACAAAGGTGGATGGGGTGGTCGACGTGGGTGATCATCTATCGCCACGCGACTCTAACTTATACCCACTATAAAACAAAAAACAACAACAAAAAATTAAAAAACAAAAAATGTAAAAATTAAAATTAAACAACATTAAAAAATTGTTATTATAATAACCAAACTTTCATACTAGCTATTGCTCGCGACACCTAGTCGCTTTTTTAAGCTTGCTGACCTTAAAGCAAGCTTTAAAAAAATCACTATTTATGAGCTATCTTCTAGTAAAAATCCCGTCAAAATGAGTTCAGGTGTTTTGGAGATTACCCAGGACAAGCGCGGATTTCTGAGAGATAGACAAATATTTTAGACATTGGTTGGTTGTTAGAAGGAAAGCAAATATATATTTTTTATGTTATGCCAATACGGGAATTGGTCCCATTTTTATCCGCGAATTTTGAAACCGTTGATGAGGGATAAGAAGACTGTACTCTATGTACGTGTTAAGTGACTCTAGGATTCTTCCTACACAAGGCAACGTAAAACTTTGTAACCCGGCGATTGTGATCACTTAAGTCTCTCGTCGCTTAAGCGCAATACGAGTACAATGTCATAGAGGTTTGTATGCAGAGCGCATCGCCGATATTTTGTTCTTTAATCGCTATAACCAGTCGCTCACAAAAAATCGTCGCAAGAAAATTTCAAGATATCGCAGCAAATGTGTACAGTTAATATGTAATAAGTTTTGATCGCGCTTTTTTGACGCAGCGACATTTATCAGTTCAAAAACACATTGGTACATGGCGGGATTCGAACCCAGGACCTGCAGATTGCAAGTCAAGTGCTTGCCCACTGAGCCACCGACGTTCCTTTATCAGTTACCCATATCTTAATATTTATATATATTAAATAAAAGTTTAAGTGATCAAAATCTCCGCAACTGTAGATTTCAATAAATACTTATATATTTTTATTTTTACATTGAGATAAGGACACTTAATGTGAAATGAGGCTAGTACAATAAATAAATAAATTAAAACTCAACCCAAATTGGTAGAGTCATTTTAGAGATTTGTGCCCTTTAGTAGGCTTTAGTCCACCACGCTGGCTCAGGCGGGTTGGTTCATCATCAGCTCACTATACGCCCCTATTAAGGGGCTCGGGGCCTACCCTAATTTAGCGTTGACTGGGGTGGGGAGGATTGACTTCACAAAACATTTGAATTATTTCTATCTATGAATCGTAAACCAAATAGCCGGAATTGAACTCGGACGCTGCCAATTTGCGTAGACCATTAAACAAAAAGACAATGTTCTTGGAAATATTTATTTGTTTAGCCAAAAAGAAATAGTATCAAGTGTTCGAGGGAGCGACGCGACGACCTGGTGGAAGGTGAATGCTCGCTTCATGTAATCCTTCGCTTCATGTAATGTAATATAAGTAGTGCACATCATTAGTCGTAGTCCGAGGAGGATTCCGAGTCGTCAGCAGAGCTGAAGTATTCGGAGTCCCTGGCGTGGCCCCTGCGCCGGCGCCTGCGGTTGGCGGCGACGAATGCGCGGATGGAAGCCAGCGACGGATGGTCATGAGCCACGGGCTCGTACACCGCCCGCGAGTACACCACGGGCGGCACGTGCCACAGCACTGCCGGTGGCGCCTGTCCCAGCATCAGCGGCGGTACCTCTCCAATGTGCAGCAGCGGCGGCGGTAGGGGGGCGTTTTGCTCACTGGCGACATGACTCCGCAATTCCGCCGTTGCGGCCAGACTTCTCGTAGAAGTATTTGTTAACGAGTCGTTCCAATATTTATCATAGCATAAAACGTAACTCCGAGAAAGAGTTGATATAACCACTAATATCTGAAGTACCCGATATTCCATCTGCGAGGAAATCTAAGTTTCGATTAAATCGGATAGAGTAGCGGGCGTCAAAAACGTTGTGCGACCTCCATTGTTATACAGGGCGCTGCGGCGATATCGACCGGGCGCAGCTGCGCGACACCAGCCGAGCGACGCCTGTACAGTCACGTAACGCAAACAATGATTAAATCATGAAAGAAACAAAGATTTTTAAATTAAACTAAGGTTACATTTAAGAATGACTTCGATGACATTCATACAGACGAGCACAAAGCGATAGCTGCGCACGCTTGCATTATGTTGCGTTGTTAAGATAAATATTTGGCCACACTACATCCAGTCGATATAAGGCTCGATCTGCAGTTTCCAATTCCCATACAAAATTGACAATAGCCACACAGAGCGTTGAAGCAGGTCGTTGTCGTCGCTGTCACCACCATTTGGTATAGCAGCATATCTAACGTATCCTCCGATAAGATCGGCAGACAGGCGAGGACAGTCGTCGCACTCACATAATCAACGGATACCACGTACATCCTTAAGTTTTTAAAATATCCAATATGTTATTGTGTTGTCCTCGCGGCTGGCAACTGCTGTGGGCCATGAGGTGAGAAGCGAGGATGACATGATGATATTTTGTATATTTCTATGTGTTTTAGGAACTTTGCTCCTAGAGAAGCAAAAGAAGAGGTTCACGAAGACAAACTTAAAAGCTTTTAAACATTTATCCGAACATTGACTGCATTCCGAGTCCGTATTACTTCGTACTGACATAACTATAATATTTGTAAATTATGATTGTAAGTGAATGCCGCGCCGGACAAAAGAGGAGTTGTAATGTATACGTTATTATTATTAATAAATAAATGATCCTTGTAAGAGGTTTTACTTCTGTTAAAATTAAAATTAATATCATATCTGGCAACATTCTGGCAACAACTTCAAGAAGCGAGCATACCATTTCCTTAAAGGCCGGCAACGCATCTACAGTTCCTCTGGTGTTGCAGATGTCCATGGGTGTCGATGATCACCTTGGTGTTCCCGCCGCTCGTTTGCCCCCTTCTCTTATAAAAAAAAAAAAAACAACTATCTCTTGGTGCCGCAATATCTTGGTGTAGTTGAATAAATATATAATAATGAAGTTGGTTGATACTGCATCAAAGTTTGGAGTCAGTTCAACATTACTGTGGACGTGTAACTCAAGTTCGTAGTTAATTATATACTTAACCAATGTTCGGCAAAATAAAACAATTGTAATAGAAGGGAGAAATTCTATTAACCGATATGTTTGGTTTATTTTTGAATAATAAGAATAGCAACTAAATGAAGGATAAAAATAATATGACTTTACAATTACCAGTGTTTCTTAACTTTTTTATTTACGTGTAAGTTACAAGAAATGCTTTAAAAAGTCAGCGATAATGATGTGTATTAATGCCCGGTTTACATTATGTAAGTAAAGTACTCGCCTAGTAGCGTCCGAAATCAGCGCTGACATTCATATAACAGGCAAACAATTTACGTGTTATTTGTTTGATACTATAAATCTTTAGTAGTAAGGGATATTGTGTGAAACTGTGGATATTCAACGGTGACATTCAACCAGAAAGTCCACTGAAGAAACTCTGGTATCAAAACATTATATTGTAATAATAAGAGGAATGGGATGCGAATATTATGTTTGTACACTAGCGTCTTCGCTGTATGTACACACACGATATACAACGCAATTGTGAGTTACAGATAAAAATGCTTTTTACTCGCTCTCTTGTTTAATTTGTAAAAAAAATGTTACAGTAAAGTTATTTCGTGGAATTTTGGATGCAGCCTTTCCGATAAGTTTTGAATTCAGCATATATTTTAAAAATTTCTAAGGAGAACATGACACAACAGTGCTGGTGCACCTACTTCAGCCCGAGACGGCGTCCAAGTCCTCATCGAAATATCGAACGTTAATTTTTGATGCTAGATAAACTAATATTACGACTTTATAAGTTTTCACAGCATGTTTGTTTCAAAACGTACAAAACATGGCAACACTCAACTTTATAACATCAACAGAACTACTCTTAAAAACTTATCCGTCATCATTGTCCTTTGACTTTGAAGCTTTCTTTGATTTTCGTCGATGAGGGTTTTTATATGATTTAATTTTAGTTTTGTTTTCACCTCCGAGTATCGCGGTGTGCGTCTCCTCCCCCGCCTGCACCCCGCGCACCACCTCGTTCTCTTCCTCCTTATCCCTGTCCTCCTCTTTAGGGGCTTCATTGTAGCCTCTTAGGTTTTCTTCTTTCTTATTTTGTAACCAATCGTTAGCTTGGTTTTTGCTGATCTTTTTTTCGTATATGACATATCCGTCCTCGGTGACATACTGGAGGATAGGATGTAGTAACGCCTTTTTGTTCCTATGCACCCTGTGACCTCCGGCCCCGCTTTGCGCCCGGCCGCGCGCTCTGCCTCCGCTGCGCCGGCCCGCCCACCAGCCGGCGTCGGATTCGGCGCTGGAGGACTCGTGGGTGTCGGCGCTCCAGTCCTCGTCATCACTGGTGTCTGTCCCCGATTCGGTGTGAGAATGGCGTCGGGGCTTTCTCTTCCTGTGTATGCGTTTTTTCTTTTTTCTTTGTGTATGTCGTCCTGTGTCGTCGAGATCTCGTTTGCTCGCGCCGTCCGGGGAGTAGAAGGGCATAACAATGACGGGCAACTTGTGGGCTGCCGCCGGCGCCGGCATTGGCATGGGCATCATGGGCACATGCATGGGCATGGGCATGGGCATCGGGGCACCTCGCGGCGGCGCACCGGGCGCGGTGCCAGGAGCTGGCTGCGGAAGCTTGTCAGGCACGAGACCCTGGAAGCCCGGCGGCAGAGGAGGGAACGTAAGGTTAGGTAGCGCTCCCGGGTACACTGGATAGTCGGCATGACGCGGCATGCGGCAGTGCATCGGCAAACTTTGCGGCAAATAGTTAACTTCGGTCGGACATAAAGGCAACTCTTCCTCCTTTGCCATGCTAGTAATTATTTTCACAGCAATCATATAAATAAAAGAGATACGCCACCGCATGACCGATTCTCCCGAGATTCGCAATAAACGTAACGCCGGCGTAGTTATTACGATACGTAATCGACCGTGAAGCGCCGGCGCCGGAAGCAGCGAGCGATTACTTAGCTAATGGCAACAACTGCTCGAATATGGTCCACAGGCAGAGTGCGAGCGAGCGTCCCCGGGCACGCTTTATGAAGGACGCGGCGACAGGTGCACGCGCACAATGCGTGACGCAACGCCCACGGCCTAGCACAATGCCCGGCCGCGGCTGCATTGTCGCGCGGCCACGTGCTCGCTTGCATCACATTTTGGAATCGGTGCACGTAAACTTCACATATGTTGGTGGTAAAATTCATTGGACTTGAGATGACGTAACGGAGTTTTATGACAAAGAGCGTCGAGGGCGGTACATAAGGTGGGCGGCGCGCGCGCAGCAAGCATCCGACCGTGGCCGATCGACTCGACCGTACATCGCGCGCTTCTCACCACTTTAGCTAAAGGTTAAGTTTCAAAATTGACCTGTTTTAGATAATTTGATATTTCTTCACAGCGGCGTAGGGCAGGGAGATGGTCAGAGCGGTGCTAGTCTGTCAGCTGGTGGTGGGCGCGCTGTCGTCGTGGGCGAGGGCACAGTATCCCTTCCCGATGGCGGCGCTCGGGCCGGCGGGCGGCGGGCCGGCGGCTCCTGGCGGACTGCCGCTGGCCCCGCACGCCGCACACCTGCCCATGCCCATGCCCGTGCCCATGCACATGCCGATTCGCCAGCCCCAGATGCCCGTCGTCGTGATGCCCTACCGCTCGAAAGCTAGCGATCGTGCATTTAAGAAAAAAAAGCGGCGCAGACCGCACTACTCGAGCGAGGAGTCCAGTTCGGAAAGTGCGAGCTATGAAGACTCCTCCTCCAGCGCTGAGTTCGAGTTTAGACGAGCGCGAGGGCGGCGACAGAGACACAAGAAGAAGCGCGAAGTGCTGACCCCCGTCATCTCGTACGTGACCAGGAGCGGCCGCGTCGTGTACCAGAAGAAAGTCAAGAAGGAGAACCCGGCCGATTGGCTGGAGGTGGGCGCTGCGGGAGCGGGGGGAGCAGGTGGCGAGGGCGAGGGCGAGGGCGTCGCGCGCGCATCGCCGCGGGACGAGCTCACGGTTCGCGATTTGAGGAGGACATACAAACTGAACAAACATAAGCACAGGCATTAGCTTCACCATTTTGTACACTTAGACAACGACTTCCATTAAATTTATACTTGAATATTATTTTTTATTAAGTAAGATTAAAATGAATTTAAATAGTTTTCGATTTTTAAATGTTCGGCTTGCATGAACCCCCACCCCCCCATCCCCTGTCGACACGTTGATTCCATCGTCGATGCAATAAATCGTATATGCACCAGTCAATAAACTACCGAAGTCTCGTGACAAAGCGTACAATATTTAAGTGGAAATGCCAATCTCACACATTGGCCGTGTTAAGAGCTGAAGACAGTCCGTATGTGTTTTCTATTTATATTTTATATAAAACAAAGACACGGTTCATGCAATAGGATGTAAGTTGAGACATTCACAGTCTAGCGGTTCTCATGTTACAGATGGCGGGCAGGCGGCAGTGGCGGGGGCGATGGCGCTGGCGGTGGCAGCTGGTTATAGTGTCGGCGGCGGCGTGGTACGCGGGAGGGGCGTGGCGCGAGGACGTGGGCGGGGGTGTGGGCGGGCGCGGCACCCCACCCCCGCGCTTGTGGCCCAGGGAGCCGGGGTACTACTTGGACGACTGGCACATTTGGCCGCTGTACTTCAACGGGTAATTGGGTCATCGACGGTGCACTTCTATATTAACTTACATATACCTATTTGATGTGTCAATATAAGTAGAATATTACCTAGTTATGTTCTTTTCTTCGCTGCGTCGTGGCGTGAGATCTCCTTCCACAAATTAACAAGTTTTTGTTACGTTGTAAGATTTGAATGAGGCAAACGGAAAGCCGTGGCGTGGCATGAGGCACAAAAATAAAAAGGCAGTTGCAGATCGATATTTATTATTTCTTAAAATCTAAATTAAATAAAACATTAATGTCAGTCATACATAGAACAAACAGGATTTAACAATTTTAAAAGTACAAATGCGCGTTGCAAGTAATAAATAAGTAAATGATGCGGGAGAGGGGGGGGGGGTCGCCTCTCTTGTGACGTCACTGAACTATTTAAAGTCAAATATACGAATAATATTTGTGTATAACTTACTAATATTATAAATGCGAATGTTTGGATGGATGGATGTTTGTTACAAGGTATCTCCAGAACGGGTTAACGGATCTTGGTGAATTTCGGCACAAAAGTAGAAAATGGTCTGGAAGAACATATAGGCTAATAATTTTATTTGGCGCGTATAGAGTCGCGGGCGACAACTAGTATAATATAAATGTATGTCGCAAGGCGAACCTCGACACAATACAACAATCTCCTAAACTAAGTAGACTTGTATTAGTTAGGGGAAAAGTATTTTTGTATTTTGTAAGTAACGTTGCGATCGAGTGTTCTTTTCGTTTGTCAGATACATAAAGTGCATCCGACACGTGCATTACAATGATAGCGAGATAGCGAAATAATAAGATCGTGTTCAAAGTTCAGCTGACGGTTTTAAGTGGTCCAACAAAATGTTATTATTTGTTCTAATCAAATAATATTTAATAAACAATGAAGAAATACTTTCTATTGTATTATACATATATAATACGATTATATTTTTCCACAATTTAAAATGTACATGAGTAGAGATAATACAATTTATGACGTCATTCAATCGTTTTCATCAAAAACACATGTATTTCATAAATCTATCGTGTGCATCATTATTACAAAAAGAATTTTGTGACCAGTAGAGGGAGCGTGCCCGGGAGGGGCGGGGCCGGGGGCGTATCCGGTCGGGGCGGNNNGGGGCGGGGTCGGGGGCGGTGCTCATCGCGCCTCCTTAGCCGTCAGTTTTTCGATGAGTTCCTGCAGCGGTGCCAGCTCTCTTCTCTCTATTAGGTTGAATTCCTGCCAACAGGACAAAATAACGTCACCCCTAGTCTAAAGATGTACTGTTTATGCCGAAAGATATCTTCATTAGAATGACCCGTAATCTACTTCTATAAAAATTCTTTGAAACTGAGCTTTTTGTCCGTGTGCGAAATGTGAATGGTGCGGAGGGTCTGAGGGTGTTGGTGGCGTTTGGAGGGCGTGTGGAGGGTGCGTCGGGGTGTCACCTGCACAAAGAAGATGAAATGCTTGAAGGAGGTGTTAAGGTGCGCCTCCTCGCCGAGCTGCACCACCTCGGGGAAGTGCTGGTGGTAGATGTGGGCGTAGACGCGGAACAGTCGCTTCAGGATTGTCTTCGCCATCGACAGGAAGTTCTTAGGGAAGGGCACGCCTGCAACCAGAACATCCACCGTGTGTTCTCACATCAGAATTCATATCAATAATGTGCCAGGGTAAGTGACCCAGGTGAAGGACCCTCGAAGAATATGTGAAGACAGCGAGTAGAGTTGACAGCTTACCTATTTTTGAGGGGAAGAGAGTTTCGTCGTCAAGCTGGTCCTGGGCCCAGGTCATGAGGTAGTCTATATACTTAGGCGCGGAGCACTTGATAGGCTTCTTGACTGTGTGCCCGTCGGCCCAGTGGTACTCGTACTTGGGCCCTGCTGACATCACCGCGCAGGACTCCTCCGTGCAGAACTCGGTGATTGTGCCGTACAGCATGTTGATCTGGTTGAAGAAGTCCACCGCTGCAACACATCCACATGTCTGACACAACTCTTGTCCTGACAATACCTACCTACCAACAATAAATAAACACAACTCATTCACAAGTGCTTACGCCACAAACACAAATATTCATTTTGATTATTTGAATAGATTGTTAGGTAGACATTTTAATGAGAAAATTGAAACTTTTCAAATATCACATATGATGAGAATTGTCTATCTATAGAATCATCGTGACAACAAAGAGTGAGTCAGACAGATAGACAATAAATTTGCTTTTATATAGCTATGGCAAAGTTACAAAATGCAAAAAGATGTTGTTTACATGTACAGAGATGATGGATAGATGTGATGAGGTAACTTGTCATTGTGTCCTGTATTCATAACACATGTTGTTGAACAAACACAATATAAAGTATTTTATATCCTCAAATATGTTTCACTTCCCATACAAGGTCAACTGTATTACATTTCCTCCATAATATTGTTATTAATTCACTTTTAAGAAGTTTTTTTATGAATAAAATATTTAAAAAAAAAAACAAATAATTCACTAAAATATGTTATTAAAAGGAGTCCCTTTAGGCAAGGTAATTAATTGTATGCAAAATGTTATAAGAATATTATATATTCAACTACTAGCTGTTGCCCGTGACTCCATCCGCATAGATATATAAAAAGCATCACATCCATCCAAACATTCACATTTATAATATTAGTAAGTTAAATGAAAAGCAGCTCTTCAAGGCATAAATTTTAAAAAAAAATGAATAAATAGTATCCTATATCCGTCTCCTGGCTCTAAGGTACCTCACCAATTTTTAGTCATATTGGTAAAGCCGTTCTTGAGTTATAAATAGTGTAACTAACACAAGTTTGTTTTATGTATATATATATATATATATATATATAATATACTTAAATGAACAAATAAATCTTTGTTAATTGAAAACATGGTATGGTATCATCCTAGGTAGAAGTATGAGTTGACAGACAGTACATCAACATCAGAGTTAGCTTCCTCCCCAAATTATGAAACTATTTATACATACTTATGCAAAGTATCCTTTAGTATACTTCATTTTTTGTTGATTAGACATTTTACATTTGACTCTATGACTTCTCCAAAAGGAAGGATATATTAGAATTTGTACTGACAAAATCTACAAAGAGAATATGGTTTCCAATAAAACAGATCTTACTGTTGACTGCCACCCACTCATTGAGGTCCTCTCCCTCTGGCAGCATGACGGCAAGCCGCAGGTTGCCTGAGCCCAGCGTGGCGGCCGCGTGTCGCATCAGGTCATATTGATGTGTTCCCTCAGGGATATTCTTTTTTGGCTTAAAAGTTTTATTAGATCGACTCCCACTGTAAGCGCAAACATTATAGGTCCATACAATTTTTTTATATCATATAAGGCTGAATAAACATATTGCCTATTGGTATGGTTCTAAATGAATCAATACATTAAAATCAATATATGCTTGAAATCTCTGCAAACCTTTTTAATACAAGCTATTATCTTTCAAAATAGATAAATTGTTTTAATAAATAGTAATTAAGATTTAGGACACTAAGCGTTAAGATGCATCACCACCATATGATCACTGTTCGATCGAAGCAAACATAAACAACGATCCAAGTTTAGCGGAAGAAAACCTGTTAAAAATAGATATTGATACGACTCTAAGATCTAGTTTTTAACTTACAATAGAAAGCTCATTTTGTTCTTAAATTAATTTATCCGAATAAACTAAATTATCGTCTTCTACTATAGCACCAAATCATTAAAATAGGTTAGCCTAAAACAATAAAATATTCAATACGATTCAATTGACAAACGTCAATTGTCAAAAGATATTGTGCTTCATGACGTCAACGTCATAAGATGTCTCAAAAAGTTAAGATTTTTATAAAATAAAAATGATGAGCAAATTGTAAACATTTTATTTTTAATGATTCTAAAAATTTTAAGTAGTGCTATGGGCTACCATTGATCTTCCGTATAATGCAAACACGAATTTTTAGTGTGCACGACCACCACGGCCGGGTAAAAATTGTCATTGGCAACACTGCTTCAGATCAGTCAAGTCGAAACAGACCAGAATTCACCACAGGATCATTCATTTCAGATTGCGTTGCGTATATTCGATTGAGTGTGGTATTTTTGTATAAGCCACAAGGAATTAAAATGCAAGGCTTGAGTTTCCAGAGCTTGAAGAAGCATAAAGCGGTTAGTATACTTCATATTTTTCATCGTCATTTTTGTTATTTTCAAAATACTTCTTACATAACTAACCTGCAACATTTTCTTTGCAAACTCATTATCTGTCCTTATTGAAGGAAAATAATTTACAGTACCTAACTTAATATTGCTAAACAGTTTGGTTTGAGATTTTTGATTATAACATTGCTAGTTTGTAAGGTTTTTGTATTTATTATTCATGATATCACAGTTCCTAAGTGTTGATGACAAAGGACGCACTGCAGGCAAACACGGGGTGGGGTACAAATCAATATTTGTTTTACAAATGATTGCCAAACTAGTAAATATTAAACAATTGGCTGCTGATTTTTTTTTTACTTTTACAATTGTTTTATGGTCATGATCCAATGGTGAATTAGTGATTAATCCTTTTTCCATGGAAACAATAATAATGTATTGATAATAGAAAAACACAAAACTCAAGATTTCTACAAATATTAGTATAATTTCAAACTTGAAATGAAAAAAAAGATTTTTAAGATTAAATTATTTGATAATTTCTAATCTTGATAATTTATAGGGATCCTACAGATTTTTTTTAAGATAAAAACTTGAACTTGAAGCTATTTAAATCGGTTTCTATATATTTGTCTAATTACACACCAACATCCATGATGAATACAAGATAAACACAGAGGTATAAACAATTACTTTCTCGTGTGATGTCAAAGTACATAGCTCTTGTTTTTAAATTATTATTCTAGTGCATAAAAACTAATAGTTGTACCTTAATGCACCATGTGGCAATGTTTTGCTTGTGGTGCACCAGCTTTGTCAAGAATTCCTGATACTTAGATATTCTAATACCTTTCATCCAATAGGTGTTGTGAATGTCTTTGCCTTCTATTCTAGTGCTTTATCAGTTTATTGTAGTTCCAAAGAGACATATTATATAACTACATTATACCTTTAAACCACTTTATGAATGGAAAATAAAATCAATCAATTTGTTGTACATTTTAATTGACAAGTTTATAAATAAGTGTTTCTCCAACTTATTTGAGTATTTGTAAACTTTAGAAATGTTAAAATTGGAAAAATAGGGAGGCATATTTACATATATGGCATAATACTGTGTAATTGAAATTATAAATTATATAAACAGGTCAGGACTTTTATGGAAAATAGATGACATGTAAAAGAATAAGTAAGGCCTATTTAATACTCTTTCATAGACAGTCAAATAAATCAACATTGTAATGGCAGGAAAATATAAAAAATAACAGTCATTAGGAAGGCAATAAAATATTGAATAATTTATAGTTGATCCCGCTTTATGTGTGCACGGGTGTTGGCGCCATGGGGGCTGTGTTCTACCTGTTACGTTTAGCCACGCGCTCCCCCGATGTTACCTGGAACCGCAAGACCAATCCTGAGCCCTGGCAAGAGTATAGAAATAAGCAGTATAAGGTATCAGCAATAATTTAAATAAATTTTGAATAATTAATAATCATAAAGCCTTCATTGGCACTATAACACAAATTCAAAATTTCTATCTAGTCATATTCTAAATTGTTGACTTTATATAATTCATACTTTATTTTTGTTGACAGTTCTACTCTCCAAACATTGACTACTCCAAGGAAGAGTCTCCGGCTCCTAAATTTTAAGTTACATTGTTTGTTACTAATGAAAAGTGCTGTAAAACATTAGATGGTTTTATTTAATTTATAGTTATAATGTGATATCCAATGTCGTGACTTTTATTTAAACCCTCTTTCCATCAGTCATATTGAAATTAGCTACAAGTAGAATAATAAAGATTTATAAATCTGATGTCTTATCTTATTTAGTATTTTGGGAGGATGGGGGAAAAATTACCTTTTGGTCACTGGATGTCAGCATGATCAAGAGTCACAACATGACTAAATAGACCACAGAAAAACTATGCAGGATACTGTTGACTGTACAGTCAGCGATATTTTTGCACACCTTGACTGCTTAGTTACTTATGACGCTGTGGCTGCTACGATATTTATGGGCACCTTGAATGTACTCATATATTTGACGCTGTGTATGTACCGATGTATTTGAGCAGGGTGAATGTATCTATTAATTTGAGGACTTTTGTTGTACTGATATAATTGATTACTTTTGGTGTACCTCTATATTTGCATATCTTGTCTGTTACGGTATTAATGACGCTGACTGTACTAACGTCAAATTTCATCGAAAGATTGAAAAAAAGTTATTTTCCCAGCTGGCTACGCTTTGCAACTAATTTGTAATTCTACCACTGACAATAAGGAATACTTTCTTTATTGATTTTTAAATCGCTAGTCCTTATTTCCTTACTATTATTATAAATGCGAAAGTAACTATCTGCCTTTCCATCTTTTACGCAAAAACTACTGAATCGATTTAAATGAAATTTGTTACACAGATAGTCTAGGGCCTGGGGAAGGACATAGGCTATTTTTTTTTATCGCGAAAAAGGGGTTGAAAATTTTGGAAGTATCGCCATTTTAACAGATAGAAGCTTGAAACTTATTTTGTGGCTGTAAATTTTTTTAGCCTATCTCCTTCCTCAGGCTCTAGACTATCTGTGTACCAAATCTCATTTGAATCGGTTCTGTAGTTTTTGCAGTCGCATTTATAATGTCAGTAAGGATTTACTTCGAGAACTTGGATTAGTTGGTAAACTAAAGTTGTTTTTTTTCTTCAACGTTGAAGAATTTAACAAAATTTAGAATTTTTTTTGTAATTGGTAACCCTAAAAATTTGTCAATGTCAAAAAACTACCAAAACTACCACAAAATATCTATGCTTTGTCGGACTAAAATCCTACAATATTGTCATGTTTCACGGTTGTGTTCATGACCTATTACATGTCGTCGTCAATAGAATTTAAATTGTTTTAATTACCGGCCGCTGTTTTCAACAATAAAATAAGAATATTATGAGGATTTTTCTTAACAGTATGATTCTGGGCATAACAACTGTATGTTAAACAGTGTCTAAAGTGACGAATGTGTTAATCATGTGAGTGTTCTGAGAAGTACATTTATTTGTTTTATCATTTTTAAAATGGAATCTGCAACAGAAAAAGATTGGAAGAAAAAAATCGGATTTCCAATAAACTACGATTCGGATCAAAGCTCTGACGATGATTTGTAAGTTTTAATTACGATACCTGTTTACTTAAAATGTCCGTATTATGTATAAAAGCTAAGGTTACATTTTTCGACGCCTACTGGCGATAAAGTAACGTAACATGTGGTTGTTGTATGATATAAATGATTATGTTAATAGAAATTTAACTAACTATAGTAATTTTTTTTTCATTTTTCATGAGGCTTAGCTTTAGAATTCAATGCAGAAATTTGAAGTTGAGGCAGCCAGGATTCTAAGATATGCTGCTTCAATATTTAGACCTTCCTCTATCACTGCTTCACCCATGATGGTCGTCAGTTCGCACACCAATTTCTCAAATTCTTTGTTTTACCGGGCTCTTTGGCTAGTGTCTTTTCTCTGCATGGGGCCCAAGATATTACTCATGATATTCTTTGTGACACTAGAAGCAATTTCTCCTCTTTAACAGTTACTGTCCAAGTCTCAGTGCCGTACATCATGATTGATCCAACTACAGTCTTGTATCTGCCTTCAATGCATTTAAACTCTTGTATAAGTTTTATCATAAAACAATCAAAGCTTAAACAACGCTTGCTGGATATTCACTGTATAAGTCTTGTCGCCTGCGACTCCGTCCATGTGCATATATAAAAAGTAATTTTTTTTTTTTATAAAATATTAGCAGATTTTTTGCTGTAATTAAGCTCTATGCTTGTGCTAGGATATGGTTTACAACAATAGTCGAATGGCGGGATTCGAACCCCCGACCTCGTGATCGAAAATCCGTATCCTTAACCATGCGCTATTGACGCTTGAATTAATGTAGCCTATGTGTTCTTTCAGACTATGTTCTATATATATTCTACATATACAAATTTAATCAAGATCTGTTCAGCCGTTCTAGAGATGTCTTCAAACACCCATCCATCAATCTAAACATTTGCATTTATAATATTAGTAAGTTAAATAAAAATCAGCTCTTCAAGGCATAAATTCGAAAAAAATGAACAAATAGTATCCTATGTCTGTCTCCTGGCTCTAAGCTACCTCCTCAGCAATTTTCAGGCATATCGGCAAAGCCGTTCTTGAGTTATAAATATTGTAACTAACACAACTTTCTTTTATATATATAGATTAGCTATTATAATAAAAAAAACTTAATAGCCCATACATTAATCCACACTATGTTTTATATCTATGCCAAATTTCAGTGAGATCCATTCAGTGGTTCTATACATATCTTCTAACAAACTTGTATCTGTCTATCCATCCATCTAAACTTTCCCATTCATAATATTTGTAAATGTGTAATATAGTATATGTATATGTATGTGATGAAAATGGACAATGGGAATTTAGTTACAAATCTTGCTAATTCCCACAATGTATGAAAAATATAAACAATGTAGGTAAACCTTTCAAAAATTGAATAACTCATAATAAATTTAAATCTGAATCTAATATTGTGGTGTTGCCATCACATTACCTAGTAGTGTCTAATGCTAGATGAATGGTAACGAATGTTTGAGTGGCGCGGCGCGGCGCGGCGCGGGGTAGGGTGGGGTGGGGTGCGCGCGGCTGCGATTGATAGCGGTTAATCTCTGCTATCGGCTCTTCAGCTAATCTATCTCATTACATGGCTATAAAACACCACTTAGAGATT